GCTCGAACCCTCCTCCCCAGATTAAATCTTAACAGCACAAACTTCATCTCTGCTACACTCGCACACTCTCACACACTCATGCACACCCACACACTCATACACTCATGCACACCCACCCACACACACTCACACATTCACACACTCCCGCACACCCACCCATTCAGACATGCTGATACACTCATGCACACGTGCACTCTCGCACACACCCACACACTCCTATACCCGCGCGAGCACACTCCCGCACCCCTGCACTCACCCTGTTCCTCTCTCCCCTCAGACACGCAGCTCTGCAGAGCAGGACCCTGGGCTCAGAAGCAGATGTCGCAGCTGAGTGACAGACGGGGGAGGGGCCCTGTCCTGAGCATCACTACCCACCCAACAGCCATGACCACCCCCGCCCCAGAGAGGACAAACTTCCGTTTCCAACTTAGACTGGTGCACACTTGGCCCACACCAGCCCCCCTCACGAACAGCGAGGTGCAGGGGTTGGGGCAGGGAGTGACGCCCCAGTAGGGCCCTGCAGCCCACTGGGCATTAGTATCAGTGGACGCTCCTGCCCCTTCACCTGTGGTTCAGTTGCCAGTTTGCTGGACGCCCCTGCGGGGTTCATCTAAGGAGGGAAGGAAGGTTCAGGTGGAGGGGGGAGGCCCTGGAGGGGTCCCAGACCCCCCGGGTGCCTGGAGACAGTTTGAAACACATCTCCTACGTGTACCTTGAGAGTCGTGGCTTGAACGAGATTTCCCAGAGGGGTCTGGGGCCCGACGGAGGAAGGAGGGGCCGAGATGAGAATGGTTGCCCCTTTGCAGGGTGGGTGTTTGAGTGGGAGGCAGAGACGCTCGCAGACGAGCCAGCAACATGCATCTGGGATACCTTGAGCCCCCCAAACTTTACTGCCCGGTTCCCAGGCTGGAGGGCTGGGGGGTTCACAATGCAAGCTGGCCAAGGTCCAGTTTGGGGTACCCATTCTGGGCTGTCCCAGCTGCAGCTGGAGAGAGGGGCAGCAGCCTCAGTGCATCCTGAAGGGCGCTGAGCCCCCCAAGCCAGCCCTACCGCCAGCCCTCTAACCCTCACTATGGGCTCTTGGCTGGGGTCACAGCTGACAGTGCTCAGGGTCACTCCTGGTGAGCTCCAGGGACCCTGTGGGATGCCGGGGACTGAACGTGGGTCAGCCGCACACAAGGCAAATGCCCTCCCCGCTGGACTACCCCTCTGGCCCCCTCCAGGCTCTTGGCGGTGGACAGGGCAGGAGCTGTTCCCAAACACTAGGCTCTGGCCAGGCAGGTGGGCGAGGGTGATGTCCCACTGCAGATGGGAGGTCGCCTGGGGCAGTGGGGGGCTGTGGGCTCCCCCTCCTCACAGCCCTGTCTCAGCCCCCAGCACCCCTCCAGCGTGGGCTGAGTCAGATGCTGAGTGGCATCCTCTGACAGTGACTACGCTCGAGGACACGGGCTCCCTGCCCCTTCCCCTGGAATCCGAGCCCCCCTTTAAGTCCCCTTGGGGGGCTGGAGCGATGGCACAGCGGGGAGGGCATTTGCCTTGCATGTGGCCGACCCAGGTTCGATTCCCAGCATCCCATAGGGTCCCCCGAGCACTGCCAGGAGTGATTCCTGAGTGCAGAGCCAGGAGAAACCCCTGAGCATAGCTGAGTGTGACCCAAAAATCAGAAATAAATAATTAAATAAAAAGTCCCCTGGGGGGGGGGGGGGCTGGAGCGATAGTACAGTGGGTAGAGCACCCCTGAGCACCACCAGGAGTGATTCCTGAGTGCAGAGCCAGGAGTCTTTTCCAGATGTGATCCAAAAAGCCAAAATAATAATAATAATAATAATAAAACACTCTTTGATAGATGGGAGCAGTGGAAGAAATGAGGGGTCTCCCCAGGCATTGTCAGGAGGGACATTCGGGAACGAGTCACAAACCAAGGTCCTGTGGCCCCTGACCTCGCTCCCCCTCATCTCAATGCCAGTCTGAGTGCCACATCCACCTACTCCCTGGGACAAGTAGCCCGAAGGTCACGCCCCTTCCTGACCACTCACTGTCACCCCAAGCAATAGCATCCAGAAGCCTCAGTCCCACGTGCCCGGGTCCCGCTAACAGTGTCTCTTGCCGCAGGATTGTACAGTGACAGGTCGGCTTTGCTTGGTGGTTGGATTGGGGACCACAAACAGTGGCGCTCAGTGAAACCCTCTGGTGGCTGGGGGACCCCGCGGTCGGGGGGGCTGAACCCGGGCTCAGGAGCCCTCAGAGCTGTCCCCCAGCCCCCGGGACTGGCTTTAAGCCCGGATCAGCCTGGGCGCTCGTTTCCTGGGTCACTCGGGACGGGCTTCCGCGGGACCCCATTTTCTCCTCGTGGTTCCCTCGCGCTCCTGTTCGGATGACAAGCGGCTCGTCCCTCCCCCAGAAACCGAGGCAGGAAAAGACCGAGACCCCAAGTCTTGGCTGCCGGGTAGTCGTCCTGCCCCCTTCTCCCCATAACGTGAAGCGTCGCTCCCCGTCCTCCCCCAGAGCTAAACCCCGAGCCACGACCTTCGGGGCGGTCAATTCCCCAGGTGGACAAGGAACGACACAGAGCCCGCCCCCGCCCCAAGACTTGGAGTAATCTCAGCTCCCCACCCCAGCTGTCCCCGGGTGTGGGAGAAGCAGGAAACAGGATTACAAGATTATCCGCCAGCCTGAGTTCCTGCGCGCACTGTTATCACGGCCGACCCCCGGAGACATCTTTCTCCCTCTCCTGTCTGTGACTGCGGGGGAGGGCAAGTGAGGAGAAGACCAGAGCCTAGAACACAGCCCCCACAGGGCACAGTCAAGAGTCGGAATGACTCACTCCCAGGTCAGACAGCTCTGAGAGAGGGAGACAGGGACACGAGCACATTACAGCTGCCGAGCCCAGAATGCAAACGCTGTCTTACTTGCCCATTTCACAGCTTGCAAGACTGAGGCCCCTGCAGTGCAATGACTTGCCCAAGGATGCAGCCTCTTGTAAGTGTAGAGGAGTGCTGAAACCCAGGCCAGCCGGCTTCTGTAGCTTCCTCCTGAGGCTGCTCCGCTCAATCCCCTCCACCCCAGAGCTGGGGCACCCCAAGCTCCCCGGGAGAGCGAGGCAGATGCCCCTGTCTGCCCTCTTGACCTGGTCAGTGGTCAGCTGGGCTCTGCCTTCCCCGTGTCACCACTAACACGGTCGCACAGATACGGTGGTGGAAGAGCTCACGCGGGGCATTATTAGGCAACGTGCTCCTTCGAAACAGGGGTGGGCACCGCGGAGAGCACGTGCCTGGCACGCGTGAGGTCCAGGTTGGATCCTGGCAGCGCCAAAACAAGAACGATTAGAAAATAAATAGGGCCGGAGCGACAGTCCAGCAGGAAGGGCGTTTGCCTTGAATGCGGCCGACCCAGGTTCAATCCCCGGCATCCCACCTGATCACACAAGCACCACCAGGAGTAATTGCTGAATGCAGAGCCAGGAGGAAGCCCTGAGCATTGCCAGGTGTGACCCAAAAAGACAAGAGAGAAAGAAAGAAAAAGAAAGAGAGAGAAAGAGAAAGGAAGGAAGGAAGGAAGGAAGGAAGGGAGGGAGGGAGGGAAAGGAAGGAAGGAGAGAAAGAAAAAGGAAGGGAAGGGGAGGAAGAAAGAAGAGAGAGAAAGGAAGAAAGAAAGAAAGGAGATAAAGAAAAAGGAAAGAAGAAAGAAAGAAAGAAAGAAAGGAAGGAAGGAAGGAAGGAAGGGAAGAAAGAAGAGAGAAAGAAAGAAAGGAGATAAAGAAAAAGGAAGGAAAGAAGAAAAGAAAGAAAAAGAGAAAGGAAGGAAGGAAGGAAGAGAGAGAGAGAGAGAGAGAGAGAGAGAGAGAGAGAGAGAGAGAGAGAGAGAACAAAGAAAGATGTGCAGGGCCGGGTTCAGGTAGCTCAGGGAGAGAGATGAACCATCTTGTGTATGAACTCGGGGAACAAACCTGGACCCAATACCAAACCCCCAAACCTCTGAGACTTTCTTATAAAGGAGTGTGTGGGCTCACCTTTCCCGTGTCTTCCAGAAAGACTAAGAGATGCTTCCTACATGACCTGTGTTATTCTGAAACACTACTCCCCCCAAAGGAGGGCTGGGGTGGGCTTCCTCCCGGCCGAGACCCCAGGTGTGTTGGAGTGTCTCTCAGGGGCGAGCGGCCGGGAGTGCTGGGCTCTACAGGCACCGCTAGGCCGGCCCTTTGCCATCCAACCCCATTTCCCACTGGGGAACTTTGGCATCGTCCCGTCCACTCGTCGTCTCAGAACACTGACCACGGGACAGGGAGAGGAGCGGCCATGGTCCTACAATCTGGACAGCATACGGCGTCAAGTCTGCTCCTGCCCCCACCTGAATGAGGGCTCCCAGCGCTGTTACCAAGAACACGTCAGTGGGGGAGAGGAGGCAGGGAGAGGCGTGCCGGCGGAGGCAGGGACCCCCCGGGGAACCAGACTGCAGAGGGGGGCAGGAGGTGCTTTGCTTCCCAGGGGAGATGCAGACCCCAGATTCCTTCTGCTCACCCCAGACTGAGAGTGAGCGGAAGGCAGGAGAGTGCGCCTCCTCCTCGGGGCTCAGAGGGGCTGGGGGTGCACGGGACACCCTCGCCTCATCTCTGCATGGAGCATGGAGCTCCCCACCCCTCCCCTCTGCACGGAGCACAGAGAACCCTGCTCCTCACCTCTGCACGGAGCATGGAGCACCCCACTTCTCATCTCTGCATGGATCCCCCCACCCCTCACCTCTGCACGGAGCTCAGAACATCCCGCCCATTATCTCTGCATGGAGGACGGAGCCCCCCCCCCCAGCTCTGCATGGAGCACGGAGCTCCCCACCCCTCACCTCTGCATGGAGCACAGTGCACCCCACTCCTCACCTCTGCATGGAGCACCCTACCCCTCACCTCTTCACAGAGCACAGAGCACCCTTCCCCTTCACCTCTGCATGAAGCACGGAACACCCGACCCATTACCTCTGCGTGGAGCATGGAGCTCCCCACCCCTCACCTCTGCATCCTTGACATCCTGTGCAGTTCCATGTCATCGCTGCCCCGGAAGCCTTTGGCGAAGGGATTGTTCTCAATCTTCAGTTGGGTAATCTGGAGAGAGAGAGAGAGAGAAAGAGAGCTGTTTGTCATGGGGTCACTCCCAGACCACCTCAGGGGACACGGCTCCTAAGACACGTCATGGAAACGTGGCCCTTGGCCACCAGGAAAGGCCAAGGAAGGCAGGCAGGTCCATAGAAGCCGCCGCTTGGCTCCAGTGGAAGCCATTGAGAAATGTCGCCAGAAGATGGCTTTTGGAAGGGAGGAGCTGGTTTCGGTTTGCCTGTTAATTGGAGTCACACTCTGCAGCGTCCCAGCCAGGGGCGGCGGGGAGGAGGGTCATAGCATTTTGTGTTTCTGACATGATCTAGACCTCGATGCTGAGTCCCCTGCCCGCCAGTTGAAATGCTGCCTGTGTTTGCAGGGTACCTCATGTCCCACAACTAGGTAGAGTCCTCCTGGAAAAGGGAGAAGCGGGGTGGGGGTGGGGTTCCCATCTTGTGGGTCTGGAACAAACACCCCTCGATTCTGGCTTTCAAAATCCCACCAATCCAGACTTATTTCCTAGCTTTACAGCATTCGCTACTTGGAGGAAAACCAGGACCCCGATAAATAAAAGAGCACCCACTATTATCGGGGGAAGTTTGAGGCCACTCCCAGCAGTGCTCAGGGCTGATTCCTGGTTCTGTGTCCAAGGCTGACTCCTGGCTCTGTGTTTAGGCTTGACTCCTGGTTCTCTACTCAGGGCTGACTCCTGGCTCTGTGCTCAGGGATGACTCCTGGCTCTGTGCTCAGGGATGACTCCTGGTCCTGTGCTGAGGGCTGACTCCTGGCTCTATGCTCAAGGCTGACTCCTGGCTCTGTGCTCAGGGCTGACTCTGATGGGTTCGGTGCAAACCTCTTCCAGTTTGGAGGGGAGAAGGAGAGAACCCTCGCTCGAATGTTTGTGGCAATGCACAAAACTTGATCGTGGAGCAGATCCTGGCTCAGAGGCCCAGAACTTTCCACGCAAAATACCCATATAGCATCAACTAGGGAAAACAGGGCATCCCCAAGGATTGGCTCCAGGGAGCTCCAAGGGGCACTATAGAACACTCTGGAGGCAGAGAGACCGGGCTGGGTTCTCAGGGGTCCTGGGCTCCCCATCTCCACCTCAGACAGCTGCCCAGCTGAACCATGTTGTTACGTACCTTTCCAGGGTCCCGAGAGATGTTGCAGGGGTTAAGGTACTTGCCTTGCACGTGGCCAATGCTGGCACCCCATGGGGTCCCCTGAGTGCCGCCAGGAGTGACCCCTGAGCGAGAGCCACGAGTAAGCCCTGAGCCATTTGTGGTCCCCAAACCAAAAAGTAAAACAATAATAATAATTTAAAAAATGGAAGCATATTTCCAAGTCTGGAAGCGATAGCACAGCGATAGCACAGCTGGAGCGATAGCACAGCGGGTAGGGTGTTTGCCTTGCACGCAGCCAACATGGCCAACCCGAGTTCGATTCCTCCGCCCCTCTCGGAGAGCCCGGCAAGCTACCGAGAGTATTCGATATGCCAGACACAGTAACAACAAAGTCTCCAATGGAGACGTTACTGGGCCCGCTCGAGCAAATCGACGATCAACGGGAGGGCCTTTACTTTACTTACTTACTTATTTCCAAGTCTAAAATTCTCTCAATGTCGCCCTGAAATCTCTTCCTAGTCCATAAAAAGGAAGTGACTGTTTTGACTCTCCAGACTCCAGAGAGTCGCAGGAAGCCCTACGCTCCAGAACAGGCTTCTCTCGGCTGCAAGACTGGAAACAACTTTTCACACCCACTGGGGCTCCCCCGACAGAAGGAGGGTCGGAAGGAGAACAGAGAAGAGAAATGGGGAAAATCCCCTCTGCACTCCACAAATCTGAGCACCCACAAAACTCTGTCCCTATGGTCAGTGGTGGACTTAGAAACAAGAACTAGTTTCTTTGACTTTTTTTTTCTTTTTGGGTCCCACCCGGCGATGCTCAGGGGTTACTCCTGGCTTTGCACTCAGGAATTACTCCTGGTGGTGCTCAGGGGACCATATGGGATGCTGGGGATTGAACCCGGGTCGGCTGGGTGCAAGGCAAACGCCCTCCCCGTGGGACTATTGCTCTGAACTACTGTTCTGGTGACTCGTTACTTTGAGTCACCAGCAGTCATGAGGCGTTCTGAGTCTCTTGACCCACTTGGTCTTCTGTGGCCCTGTGTTCTGAGAGAGGTGACTTGTTCAGCAACTTCAGACACTCTCTAATGAGGGGCCAGAGTGACAGTACAGCGGGGAGGGCATTTGCCTCACTCACAGCTGACCCAGGTTCTCTTCCTCGCATCCCACACGGTCCCTGGACACCTCCAGGAGTAATTCCCGAGTTCAGAGCCAGGAGTAAGCCCTCAGCACTGCCAGGTGTGGCCCCCCAAATTTAAAAAACAAGCAAACAAGGGACTCTAACATGAAGGCAAATCAGACACCTAGGGCCAGGGAGATGGTTCAAAGGGCTGGAACACACGCTTGGCATGTGGGAGCCCCAGGTTTGATCTTAAAACCACCAGCAGGGCTGGAGCAATAGCACAGCGGGTAGGGCATCTGCCTTGCACGCGGCTGACCCGGGTTTGATTCCCAGAATCCCATATAGTCCCCTGATCACCGCCAGTTGTGATTCCTAAGTGCAGAGCCAGGAGTACCCCTGTGCATCGCTGGGTGTGACCCAAAAAGCAAAAATAAATAAATAAATAATCTTAAAAAAAAAAAAAAGGAACAAACCCCAAGCAGTACCATGTGTGGCCCTGAAACAAAACCAATATATATATATATATATATATTGGTTTTATGCATATAGGTACATGTGATATATAAAATATAATATGCATAGTACATATGATCATAGTCTGTATGTCCCTATATGCATATAACCCTGTATATACAGAGTCTTTACTACTAAAATACATGTAATATCAGCGTTTAGAAAGTTACATTCAGGGGCCAGAGAGATAGTACAGCAGGTGAAGCCTTGGCCTTGCACATGGCCAGCCTAGGTTTGGCCATGAGCAAGGCAATCCCCAGCATTCCATAATACAGTCCCCTGAGGTCAGCCTGAGCCCTGAGTGCAGAGCCAGAAATAGCCCCTGTGCTGTTGCTGGGTGTGGCCCCAAATCCACATTTTAAAAAAGCCAAAGGACATTCAATGGGGCTGGAACAATAGTACAGCAGGTAGAGGGCTTGCCTTGCATGTGGTTGACCTGGGTTCAATCCTGGGCACCCTACGGAGTGCAGAGTCAAGAGTGACTTCTGAGCAATGCTGAATGATCCCCAAACGGCATAGTCACGGTCCTCCCGTTGTTCATCGATTTGCTCGAGCGGACCCAGTAACATCTCCATCATGAGACTTGTTACTGTGTTTGGCATATCGGGTACGTCACGGGGAGCTTGCCAGGCTCTGCTGTGTGGGCGAGATACTCTCGGTAGCTTGCCGGGCTCTCCGAGAGGGGCAGAGGAATCGAACTCGAGTCGGCCATGTTGGCTGCGTGCAAGGCAAACGCCCAACTGCTATGCTATCGCTCCAGCCCCCAAAACAAATCAATAAAATATGTTCTATGATGCCACCCGGGTGACATTCTGCAAAAGGCAAAATGAGGGCGACCAGAAGATCAGTGAGCCCAGGCAGGGTTTGTTCCGTTCGATACTACAGTAGGATGTGAAACGCAGGCCTAAGCCCGGAAGTAAACCAGGGCTTCATGCATGATGACGAACAGCCCCAGCCCCGCTGGCCTTGCTAGTGGGGACGCCTGCGGGGGACCCAGGCAGGATTTGGGACCTCTGTGCTTTGGTTTGGTTTTGATTTGGGGAGCAGTTGGGGTTGGGTCACACCCAATGATGTTCTGTGCTGAGCAGTCACTCCTGGAGGGACCCAGGGGGCCATATGGGATGCCGAGGATCGAACCCTGATGGGCTGCCTGCCCTCCCCACTCCACCATCACTCGGAGCTCTGTGCTCGCCACTATACAAGAACATGCACCTACAGTTATCCTAACACATAAAGGCAACTTTTGCTTTGTGCCTGTTTGATGGCCACTACTGGTGGTGCTCGGGGACCACTCCAGGCTCAGGTGCCCTGGTGATGTTCTGGAACAAACCCAAGCCTGCATGCAGAGCCCGAGTGTCAGCCCTTTTTTTTGTTTTGTTTTTTGTTTGTTTTTTCTTTTTGGGTCACACCCAGCGATTCTCAGGGGTTCCTCCTGGCTCTACACTCAGGAATTACTCCTGGCAGTGCTCGGGGCACCATATGGGATGCTGGGAATCGAACCTGGGTCAGCTGCGTGCAAGGCAAACGCCCTACCCGCTGTGCTATCACTTCAGCCCCACATCAGCCCTGTGCACCCCCTGGCCAGCCCCTCAAGTCAACTCTCCAGACAACCGAGCACGTGGGTAGTAGGTGCCCACGCCCCCTGCCCACCTCTAGTTCTTTGTACCTTTGCCGCCTTCCCGCAGTGCCCCCATTTTGATTGGACTTTTTGGAATGAGTAGAAAAATCTATAAAATCCATTTGGAAAACAGTCTTGAAAATGTACACTTCTGAGCTCAGTTCTATTTTGAGTCGATTTTCCATCACCTAATGGGGCTTTCGTTCCCAACTCGGATTTTTTTTTTTTTTCACAATAAAATACAACCCACTTAACCACCAACTTTTTTCTTTTTTCAAGTTGAGGCTCAAAGAACATTAAGTAAAATTGAGATCATTTAAATAAGGCTGGAAGGAATCATGCCCCACCCTCTGGGCTCTCCTCCCCCAGTTACTGAAGTCAGTCCCCCCACCCCACACGCCTGCCCCCGCTGCCCTCCAAGCCGAGAAGACCAAACAGGTGTGGCACTGGGGCTGAACTAATGAATCATGAAGTCATTTGCTCCAAAAGCTCAGAACACAGAATGATCAGAGAAAGCAGAAATGTGGGGTGGTATTATTTTAAAAAGGCCCTCCCGTTGATCGTCGATTTGCTCGAGTGGGCCCAGTAACGTCTCCATTGGAGACTTTGTTGTTACTGTGTCTGGCATA